ATTTCTGTATAATTATTTTTACAGTGAAGGATACCTAAACTTTTAGTTAAGCTATGTAATACTGTCTTAATTCCTCTGGCTACAGGTAAGTTCCTATAAATTAATATAAGCATCTTTATTGTCTCGATTGTATTAAAATACTGTGCTTGTTTTTTGCTTATACAACTGAATATCTTACAATCAGAACATATAATTGAAATCCAGAACCAGTAACCTGAATCTTCCACAGCTCTACAATATCTTTAAAAATAAAAGTGCTAAATAGTGTATTACATTCCTTTCCTCATCTCCTTTACCTCTTGTGAAGGAGGAGCAACATCAAAGAGAACTTTCACTGCTTCATAAACGATTGGAAGAACTAGAGACCACACAGAGAAGCCAACTGCAAGAACTTGGTGCTGCTTCTACTGAACGACCTCAGTCGGAAATAAGTACTGAATCAGACAGAAATAAGTTTGTGGAACAATATGATCTGTCATCTGGAGATGCCAAATAAACCATTAAACCCTTTTCAACTTTTGCCAAAAATTCATCTACAAGTGCCGTAAAATAGGTAAAAGCTCTGTTTTAAATCATTTGTACTGTTTTTAATATTTTTTTAAAAGAATATAATTGAAATATTTGGAAAATAATTTTAAACTCTAAGAATCATGTTGCACTGTAATGTTTTGCTAATAATACTTTTCTAAAAATTTTAATAGTTTGACTAAAAAAGAAATGCTCGAAGTAGCCCCTACTCTATTGTTTTCAGGTTGTTATATAAAGTTTTCATTTTTTTGTTACTCACCAAGCTGGACTTTTGTAATCTTAAAATACTGAGAAAATGGAAAACAACATTGTTTGAGCTCTGTTATCATTATGTGAATTTTGTCCACAAATTTACCTTTGAAAATATTTTACTATCTGCACTTTAAAATGTTATGAAATATCAAGAAAAATAATCACGTTTTAAGTGAATATGAATATTGCTTTATCTACATGCAAAAAAATGTGTGTGTTTCAGATCAAAGTTTTGTTAATTAATCAAATCTATTTATAATATATTTTTGTAAAATCTATCTTCTCTGTGTTTTATTTAATTATTTAACAACCATAAAAAGCATAATTTTGAGATTAGTAGATTGTTTTTATTCTACAGATTCTTAACTTTTAATAACATAAGCAACAAAACAATTTATTAATTTGTTTTGAGCAGTTTCCGGTAAGTCAGTAAATAAACCTAAGTTAAATGGACAAAATCATCTCATGAATAATAATAATAAAAACCTGCAGCTCCGATTCTGCCATTTCTTCAGGGATTTGACGACAGAATGGACTTAATCCACTGTCCAACAAATTTAAATGATTCTGTTACTTTTGCTTTTTTTCAGGATTTATATATAGGTGAAGAATATTTTTACTGCCAGTTCATAGATGTTCAAGTGACTACATTTGTAAATTAATCAGAAGAGTTACAGAGTTAGTTGTTAGTGAAACACCTGCTAGCTAAGCACTTAATTCTGAATGGCTCTTGAGCTAACATATCACTGAAACTTAGCTAAATGAAGAGTTAGGATTTATATCCAATGGGCTAATCCGCAAATTTGATAAGAAAAGAGTATGTGGGGAACAATTCATGTGCCGCTACCATTCACTTTTCTTGAGCTAGCTATAATGGTCTTAGATATATTTATTTATAGCATGTACATACAAAAGAAAAAGAAATAATGCATTCACAAGGAAAATAATGCAATGCAACTAAAAACAATAAAATGGAAAGCAGACCAAAATGTATTATAATTCCTCCAATTGGGATTCTACTCATTCTGATTCAGGGTATGGAAAATAACCATGTAAAGGTAGTCCTTGACTTACAGCCATTCTTTTAATGACCATTCAAAGTTATGACAACACTGGAAAAAGTGACGTATGACTGTTTTTCACACAACCACTGCAGCATCCTCATTGTCACGTGATCAAAATTCAGGTGCTTGGCAATAGACTCATTTATGATAGTTGGCAGTGTCCTGGGGTCATGTGAACATCTTTTGCGATTTTCTGACAAAGTCAGTGATGAAGCAGATTGACCTCACAATCGTGTTACTAACTTATCAATTGCAGCGTTTCATTAACAACTGACAAGGAAAGTCGTGTGTGATAACACATAGTCAAATAAGTCATTTGATGGGCTCCATCCAACTCCTCAGGACCGCTGGCAAAACCAAGTCTTCAGGGCCTTATGAAAACGTGTCAAAGTAGGGGCCAGTCTAATTTCTGAAGGGATGATAATCCAAAGGGACAGAGCTCCAGGTGGCCTCATACACTGCAAAAAGCAAGTCCCACCACATGTTGACTTTTTAAAAAAAAAATACGATTCCTAAAATAACTGAAGATTTTGTAGTCTGCACTATGATTTAGACAAGTTCTAATTGGCATTTAGCCCAATGAATTCATTGCAGTACATACAGAATTAATCATTCTGTTTGTATGGAACTAGTGATGTGAAAGCAGGGAGACCTATAGAGTGGTTATGAATAGATCATTCTGTAGATTTAAATTAGCAGGAAAAGAAGACTAATTAAAATAATCCAGTCACCTGATATTTTGGAGATGGTCCTGAATGCACTCATCTGTGGAAGCCCTAGCTCAGCTATGGAATAAAAATTGGTCTAGATAGTTTACACCAGTGGTCCCCAACCCCCGGTCCGCGGACCGG